GTGGAGCCTCTGAGCACAAAGTGTGTTTAATCAGTGGTTTAGTAGAAACATCAGCAGGATTTCTGCATCAAGTCCTGCAGCTGATCATCTCAGTACAACATGAGCTCTTGTTGTTCAGCATCCACTCAGAGCAGCTACACAACACAGACTACAGATGTTCAGTTGAAGATGTTACTGAGCTGCAGCTGCTGACATTTGCTAACATCAGCTATCAAGGTGAAATGTAGTTTCAGGGTTTGGTTCCCTAAACCAACCAGACCTCATCATAAAGTTCTACTCTGTCTTCTAGCTGTGAGTCCTTTTCAGACAAACATCTGAGGAACAAATGGAGCTTTTCATGACACAACAGACACAAACAGCATCAAGAGCAGCGACATAATAAAATGAATCAGACATTTGTCATCAAGTTTTCACATCATTATTAAAACATTTCCTCCACTTACCAGCAGATGGAGCAGAATCCAAATTTACACGAGACCTCCAAGGTTTTATGGTCGGATGATGACACATCACATGGTTTCCATGGTTCTTCTCTACAATTTCTTTCAAGCTTCTCAGTAACTCTGGAAGTTCAAGGTGTTTTTGCTTCAGTGACCTGTTTCTACATCTCCTGATCATCTCCTGTAAGGGTTTCTGGCGTATGTAAAAATCCCTTGAAGCTGGACTCTTCTGTTTGGGTTTTGACATCAGAACCATTGAATGATCAAATGATTGATCACTGAATAGTTCCAGGACTCTGCAGAGCCTCAGTCTGTGTTCCTCAGTGAAGTCTTCAGGCTGTAGAACCAGCAGGAACACATGAGGTCCAGGAACAGAGAGTCTCACACAGCGTTCTACATGTTCTCTTAGTTTGTTGTCAGAGATGTTTGGATGCAGCAGATCTGGAGTGTTGATCAGAACTATTTTCCCCCCCTTCAGTTGTCCTCTGACCCTCAGACAGTTGTTTCCTTCTTCATTAGTGCTGAACACAGTTTCTCCCAGTATGAAGTTCCCAACAGAACTCCTCCCAGACCAGCTGTTCCCCAACAGAACAACCCTCAGCTCAGACCCTGGATGAAGACAAATAAACCATCACAAAGTGAACAGAGAATCAGTGGAAGTCCGTCCAAAGAATAAAACAATCAAATTATAGTTTCATG